CAATGTGATACCAAACGGGACAGACTACATGTGACGACAACAAGAACCACAGGCCAGTGTCCCTCAGAGGGGTATAAACAAACATCCTTAGGCAAGCATCAGCAAAGCTAATCCAGCTGCGCAGAGGAAGGACCGTCTTCATGGCCAGTGGGGTCCATCCGGAAATGCAGGTTATTTTAGCATTTGGAAATCAGCAAGGTTCACCACAGTAACTCAGTCAAGAAGCAAACCTTTACGATCATCTCAATAGATGCACGAAAAGCACTTGACAACTTTCAATACTCATTCACAAAAAACTCCTAGCAAGCTGGAATAGACCCCCTGCAATCTATAAAAGCATCCATAAAACTCCATCATAGCTCAAGTGACACTTAACTGGAAGACTGAATGTGTTCTGTGAAGACTGGAAGAGAGGGACGTCCCCCTCTGCCCCTGCTGCTCAACACTGGGCTGGACAAGCCGGCCAGTGTGCATGGAGAAGTCACAGCACCCAAGCGAGGAGAAGCGAGACTGCAGTCTGACGGGGACATGAGCAAGTGTGCGGATATGTCGGGGTCTGGGCCACCGGATGTAAGGTCAGCATATGAAAGCAACTGCACGATGAAATGAACATACTAGTGACAATAGCACAAAACATCAAACACCTAGGAATAAACCTCGTGGAGACATGCAGGGTCTGTGTACAGAGAGATGCAAGACGGGCTACATAAACGGGTCAGACGAGAAAGGCTCACAGGACTCGATACTAAGATGTCGATTCTCCCCAAAGGGAGCTACATATTTGAGGCGATCCCTGTCAAAACAGTCGTTTTTGATAAAAAATGAGAAGCTGATTCTAAGATGTATATGGAAATGCAAAACGCCTGTAATGAATCTTTAAAAAGAAGAGGAAAATGCATACCACCCGATTCCAAGCTTTATTATAAAGCTACTATAATCAAGACAGTGGGTGTAGACTAGATAAAACTACCTACGGGGTAGAGGATGCAGACTATAGAGAGCCACACCTATACGCTCACTTGAGTTTTGACAAAGGCACCAAACCAAGTAACGGAGGAAAATGTCTGTATGAGAAATGGTGCCAGAACATAAGGAAACAAGCGGGCGTTGGTCAGGAACCAGGATTCACCGTAGGAGACATCCAGGCCCGAGGACGCCCCTTAGCAACGAACGGAGTCCATCGCAAGTGCACGCCACGGCTGGACGAGGCACACAGATGCCGAGTGGAAAACGCCAGACACGCGAACACATCTTCATGGTCCGATCCCTTGTGTGTGAAATGCATGGACAGGCACAAGTGAGCCATGGTGAGAAAAGCCGGCGGGCGGCTGCCGGGCGGGTGGACAGCCATTCGGGCGCCCATGGCCATCAGCACACACAGAGCACGACACCGTGCACCCATGCTTCAGTGAGCGCTCCCTCCTCACCACTCGGTCGCCCCAAACCTGGGACACGAGCAACTCCACAACTGGAGACCGTGAACATGCAGCTGGAACATTGATGACTACAGACCGAAGACCGAGGGCCCTCATGCCATCCTGCGGGTCGGCGGCAGACACAGGCCCTCCACAAAACCAGTCGGGACCATCCTCTCTGTCGGAATGAACGCGCATTCCGTAGGACCGTCTCTGTGACTCCTGGGAGTCGTGTGCGCGCGTGTGAGCGTGCACACACAGGACCCTTCACCGCGGCACTCCCAGCCGTGTTCTCACCCAACATCGGATACAGCTCTAAACGTCGTACCTTCATACAGTGGGACGGCACCCGGCACTGAAGAGGCGCACGGGTCCCCTAGACAACGTGGCTGAATCTCACCAATGAAGGGACTAGAGGCAGATGCCCCACCCCTACACACCCACCGGGCGCTGGAATTTCCTGAAACGGGGAAATCCAACCTGACCTCATCAAGAACGTGGGTCTGTCAGGGTCCGTTGACGCGGCATTAATAGTTCAGACAGACTGGGGGGCTGGAACATCAGGCATTTTTCTCCAGTCGAGAGGCCAGAAGCAATCACTGTGCCCGCAGATTCGGTCTGGCAGGGGCCCGCTTCCTGGTACGCAGACATGGACTTGTTGCAGTGTGCTCGCCCCTGCGGGCCAGGGAGCTTTCTGGGGCCTTTTCTTAGGACGCTGATCCTATTTGAGGGCTCCTTCCTCATGATCTGATTACCGGAAGGTCCCAATGCTGACACCCTCACCATGGGAACTGGGTTCCAGTATATGAATTTGGGGGGACATAAGCCGAGTGGTCAGCTATAGGAGAGGGGAGCGTGGGGGTATCCTAGGATCCGGGTAACCTCTACTTGTTGACCTGGGGGTGGGCTCCAGAGTACTTGCTCGGGAGGACTCACTGAGCCGTAGGCATCTTGTACCCTTTTATGAATCCGTGTTTTCCTTCACAGCAATCACTTAGAATCTAAAAGCAGTATGGCCCCTGGCCCCTGGCTTGGGGGCTGCCACAGTACCCGCTGCCTCCAGTGGCAGAGGCAATGACAAATCATGAAGACCCGTCTGGTTCTCTGGCATGTCTGAAGGCCAAGAGCTCCCTCTAGTTGTCGGTTCCTCAGAGGGTAAACTGAGTCAAATGTCCGCTTCTGTTTGCCTCCCTGTCTTGGACCTGACCTCCTCCCAAGCCTTGCACCTCACACAACGGCACCCAGAACATGAGTGTATGCCCCGGAGCTCGGAGCCCCCCAGGCAGCTCTGCGGAAGCTGGGCAACAAGCCCTTCTCTGGTCCTCGGCCTCCACCCGAGCAGTCGTCACCCTGCCCTGCCTGTCAGGCCGGGCCACAGCCGTGCACACTAGGGCCTGCTGCGAGGGACACACCAGCCACCCGGTCAGTGGCAGGCATGACCTGGAGGCCTCCGGAGCACGGCAGGAAGGCCCGCCCATGCCCAGTGGCCCAGGGAGGAGGGGGGCCACCTCCCTGCTTGGTTTCAGCGCATCCTGACACACGAAGTCCTAGGACAACCCCCCTTGGACTTGATTCTTCTCAGAATAATGGCTCATGGGAAAGTTGTCTGGCGGATCCCAACATGCCAGCCAAGGCCGGGACGTGGTCGACGCCGAGTGCAGCGCTGGGGTCAAGCCTCTTCCAGGTTCAAACCTGGGAACTGTGTCAGACCCCCACATGGGCCGCCTGCAGTGAAGTCAGAGAAGGGTCCCCGTGGAGCTGTCACACCTCAGCGAGACAATCAGCCACGGAGACCCCCGGGCCCATGGGGCTCTCCCCGGGCCCAACCTCAGAGGTGGGCAGGGAGATGCCAGTGGGGCCACTGTGAACCCGCCCCAGGCCTGTGCCAGAGGTCACCCCTGCCCCCGAAGTTCACCTCCACCGCGCTCTCGCGGGTCAAACCAGGGGGACTGTGGCCCTGGGAGGCCCTCGGCGCCCCCCGTGTCACGCAGCAGAGAAGACAGGGAGTGGGGTGCGGGGTGGAAGAGGAGCAAGATGCAGACGCAGAGAGACCACCGAGTGACAGGTCAGATCGCTGACGATTTAGACCGTATGACGTGTTTTTAGAAGACACAGTATTGCAGCGGCAGATTCACGCGAGTCCGAGGCACCGCTCATTGGGCACCCGGGGGATCGGAGCAGTTCTTCCGCATGCAGGGTGCCCGGCCAGTCCCCGCCACACCTCCCCCAAGGTCCTGTTCGTGCCCAGCGCTGCCCCAAGCCCCCGGGCCCGTGCTGAGGCAGACCACCGGCGCCCGGCTTCTTCCGGCATCTTCCGGTGGGCTCCCGCGGCCTCAGAGTTCGTTGTGGCGAGCTCTGGAGATGCGGCCCGACAGATCCTGTAAATGCTTCTTCACCTGAAAACAGGACACAGTGTCAACCCAGCCGCCATCTGCCCAACAACACGATACACATGGTCTTAGGAGGAAAACTCCTGAGCTCCTCGCTTTTCTCATTTGCACGTCTGCCACCAGGAAACAGTCAGGAATCAATCACACAAGTAGCTCCACACCAACTAGAACATCAGCGCCTGCTAAAAACCAACTGCGCGGGGCAGAGGACGCAGGGCCGTTTCCGCGAAGGCGCGGAACAGAGATGCCACCTGGCTGCCCCCCGCCGCTGCCGGAGCCCAGCGTCCACTCCACACGCCCTCCTGCCACAGCAGCGAGGCAGAGAGCACCCCGCGCCGGCCCCTTCTCTGGCACAGCCGGACTCCCCTCTGCGAGTTCCCACCCCGCGGTGTCACTCTGGAGCTGACCTCCCGCGCGGGGTGCTTGCCTTCTCCCTGACAGGCTGCTAGACAGGCACAGACCCACGCACCCCTCCTCTGAGGCACTTCGGCCTCGTGTCACTTTAGATTTATGTGTTTGAATGGATAGCCCATCCCTGTGGCTCCAGAATCAGACGCACAAGAGGGTCCCTCCTCCCTTGCTCCCTTTAGAGACGACCCATCTCATCTGTTTCCAGATTGTTCTGTGCGTCCTTCCGCCCCTACCACCAGCCCCTCACAGCGTCCATGCTGCTCTGCCGCTTCTTTCCCCAGCATGGTCCGACCCCGGACCTCTTCTGCATGAAGAGCCCAACTTCTGTGCCTGTATGGGCACCTGATTTGTGGGTCACCGCGAACGACCTGACCAGCCCCGGAGTGACCCCATTCTGCTCAGCCCCCTGCCGCTGCTCTGGGACGGTCTGCATTCCCACGAGGGGAAACGTGGCCTCCACGCACACCACACGGGATTCTCGGGACCGTCCTCCTGTGCGCACGCGGACGTGCCACAGCCACTGCCTCACATGCACACCCTGTGCGGGGCCACTGGGCTGAGGGCACAAGCTGGGGGCACAGGTGTCCCACGGCTCTAAACAGGCCCGGAGGGGATGGCCCGGCCCCCGTGGGAGCGGACCAGGGGCCACCTGCTGTCCGCAGAGGAGGGACGGGCGCGCACGCGGGGCCGGGGGACATCGCGGGGCCGCGCGCACCTTGTAGCCCAGCTCCTTGGTCTTCTCCTCCAGCACGGCGTACTTCTCCTTGTTCCGGCTCACGTGCTCTCGGTCCCCGAAGCTCTCCACATGTTTCAGTTTCTGGTGAGAGATTTCCAGCTGCTTCTGGTAGTGGTTGTGTTTTTCAATTTTGGCTTCAAAGTGCTTAAGCTCCTCCTAGAATAATGTTTCAACAGCTGAACGTCCCCCAACGGACTCTTCGTGCCACTCTGGGGTCCCCAGCAAACCTCCCCACCCCCTCAGGACACGGGTGGCCGCCGCACACCTGGGGCTGGGCGACGGCTCAACGCGGAGGCAGGGCGTTACCTCCTCTGAGGGCGCACGCCCCGAGCCCCTCACTGCACGACCCGTCCAGGACAGCTCCAGGGCGCCATCCCTGCTGCCCCCGATCGTGCAGCAGCGCACGTGAAAGGAGCGCACCCCTACCTGCCAGAGATTCCGCCACAACAGGACGGCTCCACGCCTGGCACCCGGCCTGCCCCTCCCCTGCCCCTCGGTGAACCTGCTTCCCTTTCCCCCTGAGCCCACATCCAGCCTGACACCTGGGCTGGGGCCTCAGCCACAGGCGCACTGCACTGTCCTCTCCCCTGTCCCCACGGCCTTCTGTCCTACCTGCAGCAGCCACCACCTCGGGGAGGCTCTGTGGCACTGCCCTTCCCGCCCCTCCTGCCTGCACGGTGTTCTCGGGTCAGTCTCGCTGGCCGGGCCCCCGCATGCTGGTCTCGGCTGAGCTGTGACCTCTTCCAGACCTCCAGGGTGGGGCTAAGTGGCCTGCCCAGGGGCCACGAGGGCCAACAACACGCATCCCTCTGAACTGGGCTGCGCTCCAGACGGATGCTGATACAGGGACCTTGGCCGGACACCCACTGCCGTCCCTGCTGCTGTCTCCTGCCCCACGGCCCCGCTTCTCCCGCCTGGCAGTGACTTCTCAGAGGCCCCGTCCCCCCACCACACGGCTGTCCCCCTTTCCACCCTCCCTGCCCCCGTGACCGTGGGCCCAAACACGGTGCGTGAGCTCCGCAGTGGCCTCCGGGACCCACATGCCAGAATGACCTCTTGCTCCACAGGCCCCAGCTGGAGCCCCCATGCCGGGCTCCTGTCCTAGCCGACGGCAGCCTCCCGCCCACACCCTTCGGATCCCTGACCCACTGGCCTGCAGCAGCCTGGTTACAGCACGACCCCCATGAGGCAACACTCTGGCAACTCAAAGGCCCTTCCCTCCAGGCCTGCTGCCAGAGCCCCACGCGGGGTCTGCTGTTCCCGACCCGTGTGCTTCTGCACCAGCCCTCCGTCCCCACACCCCGCACGTCCGAAGCTGAGCAGACGCCCCTGGAGCCAGACCCTCCCTTCACCGGAGGCCAGCCCCGTCCACAGAGACGCGAGCAGGGCAGTCCCCCACAGCCGCCGACCGGCACGGCAGAGGGATGTAGGGCGCAAGGAAAAAGGCCCGTGAACACGCTGATCTGCCGCTCACACTGCGGTTCAGAGTCTTTCCCACATTAGTACGAAGTTCAACAGAAGAGATGTTGCCAAATAACGTGAGCCAGCGTCACCCAGCACCTTCCTTACCCGGAAGGACTCCAGCTCCTTCTCAGTGAAGTTGGACGACTTGGCCAAGTCCCACAGATCGATCACTCGGGGTTCCTCGAACTCTGGCAGAAAAGCAAAAGCAGTGCCGGTGACTGTGTGGCGGCACCCCATGAAGCCCAGGGGCCCTGCCGACACCGAGAGTGTGAGCGTCCGGACACACACACGGAGACGTGCTGTGCGCTCGCCCACACGCGTCTGGGTGTCCGGTACCATCCGGAAGCAAACCGAGTGTTGTTCTCGCGCACGTTCGGTCTGTGGCTCAGGGCACCGCTGGAACCTGGCCTCGGCGACACACTCACCGGCCCACGGTACCCACCAGCATTGGCCCGCGCCTCTGAGAGGGAGGGGCCCACTGCAGAACCACCTCGGTGGGGGAGGGGTGGTGGGAGTCAGGGGACGGCAGGGTTCCTTGGGGCTCTGGGCCAGGACCGCCAATCTACCACAGTTCCGGGCTGAAGCTTAGGCCACTGCCCGTCCTTATGGCTCCAGAGCAAAACCAACCACACGGAAAGGACCCCTTGACCTGAGCCAGCACTCCTGAGTGGACGCGGTGACGGGTGCCCACCTGGGCCACCCACCTCTCCGTCCCTGCAGGAGAGTGGGAGCAAGCTGGTCGGAGCTGCCCACCCATGGGCATGCCGCTAGCTCCCAGCTCCAACACCTCCTCTCTCAGCTGACCCTTTCCCGCCCAGGGCCCTCCAGGGGCTCGTGGAGAGTGTTCCGGAAGGACTCGGCAGACCACGGGAGAAACTGAGGAGCTGGCTGGGTGTGGCTCCTGGAAGGGGGTGGTTCGGGTGGGGAGGGGCAGCAGCGCAGCGGGCAGCCCCAGCACCGTGTCTCCTGACCTGCTGCATCCCCAGGCGCAGAAGCATCTGCCACATCCATGCTCTGTAAGCCCATGCGGAGAACAGGTGAGTGGGTAAGAAGCCAGAGAGAGAGGGCAGCCTGGCAGAGAGAGCTCCTGAACACGGGCTCTAGCACAGGGCCCGGGGTGGGAGCGGAGCAGACAGCGGCCCGCCACGGGGGGGTGTGGACCTCGCCACGGGATGGCGTGGGACACACAGCTGTGATGCCCGAACGCGGGGTGCTCACCGGCCTCGGCGCCATAGCCCTGGTGGCTGACTTGGCGCAGGCGGTCATAGCCCTGGTTGATGCCCCGCAGCCGGTCCTTGAGCTCTGCATGCTTGCTGTGCAGCACGTCCTCCTTGACGTGGCTCACGTCAAAGGGGCTGATGACGTTCTCCTGGATTTCTGTGCCAAACAGGCGCCGTGAGCTGCCGCCGGAGACCCCCCTGCTGGAGCAGAAATGCCCCGGGCCGACCCCGGTGACCCTCCACCCCACCTCAGGTTTGCTGACTTCCTGAGGGCAAGACCACGGGTTGGGGTGGCATCCGTGTCCGTCACAGCATCTGACCAGCACGCTCATGTTGAGAGAGGTGCCCCGATGAGCCCCCCGCAGGGGAGTCCCAATCAGAAACTGGGTGGACATGGAGGGAGGGCACCCCCCCACCCCTGGGCCACCTGCAGGAGGGCGGGGCGGGGGCACCTTCGGTCCTGCTCAGCGTCTCCAGCAGGACGTTGTACTCGCGCACTTTCTCCTTGTGGTGCTGAAACTCTCGCCGCAGTTTGTCCAGCTCCTCACTGGAGAACTTCCCCGAGGTCTTCGCCTGGGAGGAGTGAACACACTGCGAGCCTGCCCACACCCCAGGGTGACCCCCTCCAGGCCACTTGCCGCGACTCCATGGGAGCCGCTGCTGAGTACCCCCTCAGATCAGGCAGGACCCTCGCTCCTGCGGGAAACGCTCAGTGCATTGTCGTCTTGACGACCCTTTAACTAGGGGCCATAGCAGGACCTGTCGCCAGGCTCCATGGAGAGGTGACAGCCATCAAAGTGTGGGAACAGCACGATCCCCAACTGGGTGGGGCAGCGTCCCCTCCTGGGAGGGACCTCAAGCCAGTCACCACGTGGTCATCCACCTGCCCTGCGGGGCCATGTGCTGACTCACAAAGAACGCAGGTCCGGGGCTCAGTCTGTTGGCCACAGGGTCCCCTCCACAGTGGACCCGCCCTCCCTCCTGCTCCAGCCCCACCCCTTGGACCAAGGACGATGGGCTGGTGCGAGAATTCTGGTTCTCGGCCCCACTCAGTGTGGTCCAGACAGAACCTGGACAGGAGCTGGGGGATTAAGGGCTGTGGAGTGAGTGACGCTGCAGCCAGCTCAAGCCACCACCTGGTCCCACAGCCTGCCTGCACCCACCAGAGGTTTGCACCCCACAGGAGATGAGATGCTGTGAGCCCAGCCCCCACACACCCACCCTGCACTCTGAGCACACCTTTCTGAACCAGACAGCACACAGGCTCCGACCCAAAACTCAGTGGACACCGTACAACACATGGGCCACCACTAGCCTGGCTGTTTACAGATCGTCCAGCCCATTCTGGTCATTCGGAGCTCTAAGCGCTCCACGCCACACAGAATTCCTTCTCCGAGAGGGCAGAGAAAGCAGGGAAGGCAGGGAAGCCTCATGGGAGGGACCACGACCACAGAAAAACAGCCTCGTGGTTCCAAGAGGAAAGCTTTGCCCCCTGAGACCCTCTGGAAATAGGCTCCTATGCAGAAGCAGCCCCTAGCAGCCCCCCTTAACTCTCAACGCTAGGGTGCACATTTTGGGGCTCACGGGAAGCACTGGGAGTACCTTGTGCCACAGTTTTTCCAGCCTGGGGTCCTCCAGGCTGTCTTCCTCGACGGGGTCACTGAGAGAGTTGCTACTCACGGCCCGGGCGTCCTTCCTCCCGTCCAGGCCGTACTTGGCCAGGATCACTAGGAGAGACACAGGAGGTGTTACTCCAGTCCCGGCCACTGCCTGCTGGGACCCCCAGGCTCTGCACTCCAGACACACGAATAGTCCCAGTATGGGGGGGGGGGAGTATGAGCCCGGGGAGGAGCAGCAAGAGGGGCGGAGGGATAACTAGCTCATCGGGCTTTGCCTGGCCCCAGCCTTCCAAGTCTGCTGCTGCACCGGACGCCCTCAGAGGGCAGGTCACACTTGTCTCAGTGTGCGTTCACCAGCCTGGAAGGCAGAAGGCTCTGGATTCCAGCCGTCTGGGTTCAGCATGAACTGGAGCCAGAAACAAACACTCCAGCTAGAAGAAGCCCCACAGAGCTGCAAGCCCAGCCTCTTCTAGTCTCGCTGAGGACACTGGGCCTGACACTTCCTGGGCGTGCACTTGGGGGACACCATGGTGCACAGGGTGAGGGTGACCGGCCTGGGCAGCAGAGCAGACGCATCCTGAGACAGAGGCTTCTCCATCAAAACTGGCCTGGACAAGAAGGACCCAATGTGGTTTGTTTCCCACGGTGCTGGTGCACAGCTGGGGGACCGCCCTGCTGCCGAGCCTAGGATAGACCTAGTTACACCTGGGTCCTCCCTTTCATGTCTCCATTCTGGTCTGACTCCACACGTTGTGGTCCCCTCGGTGTGGCTCAGCCTTGTCAACGGTCCTGGGGTGGGAGGGGGCTGAGGGGATGTGGGGGCGCACAGGCCACATCCAGGAGACGGCCAGCTGCCCGGTGAGGGACAAATGCTCAAGAGGGTCTGCTGTGGCGCTCCAGCTTCCCAGTCTCTGTGGAGTCTTCTGCCATGTCACCCTGGCACCCAGGAAGCCCACACCACCCAAGCAGAAAACAGATGGCTCCACTCGGAACCCGGACTCTGACACTGGGCCAGAAGCCATGCCCAGGAGGATATGGGCTGGCAGTGGGAGTTCAGGGAGAATGTGCCCCAGGGAGGAAGACGAGGTGGCTGACCTCTCTATGCCCTCATGCTCCCCAGTCTTGGCCCCACGCCATCCACTGGGGGCCGGTTCCTTCCAGAAAGGAGGACATACAAAGGATTCTGGGTCCCTCCAGAGCCTTCTTTTCTTGGGGGTAACTCCAGGTCAGGCTCCTGTCCTGGCCCTTTGGAGTGGCCCCCGAACATTCCAGCTGGATGCAATGGTCCCGCATCTCTGTCCACCTGACCCTTCTGCTATCTCGTCCTGTTTTGCATGTGTCTCGTCATATTCTAGAATGAGGCCACATGAAACAGCAGTAGACCTATGTCCTCACTCCAGAAGCAGATACACAATGTGACCTGAACAACACGTAGGTGTCTCATGAGGTCTGATAGTAAGGGATGCAGGGGAGCTGGGGAGACGTCACCAGCTGAGTCAGAAAAACCTGGATTCAAACCCTGCTGTGCTCAAGTGGTGACTACGGACAAGCCGCTCACCCTCTCTGAGCTTCTGTCACCTGTCTGTGACTAGGGACAATGAGTGCCTCAAAGAGGCCTGAGTGGACGTACAGCATTTCGTCTCAGGAAGGGACTCCCGTGATTACAGACAACACGCACTCCACGGGGTGCCATGTTCGAGGCAGCTGGTGTCTGGCCCCGTAGTGTGGGACGGTGGATGGGCTGCAGGGCGGACTCTGGGTCCAGCCACACCTGTGGCCACTGAGCCGTGGCTACTCAAGCCCCGATGCTGGGCTCTGTGGGGAGCTACAGCAGGCTCATATTGGCGAGGACGTGCCCGCGTGCCGGGGCGGGTGGCAGGCCAGGGCGCCAGCAGGTGGGATGGGGACGTGACTTCTACTCTCCACTCTTCACTACAGGATGACAGCAAGACCCGTCCACGCGGGAGCGGCCCCCCAAGACGCAGCTGAGGTGGAGTGCACGGGGGTGCCCGGGCAGCGAGCTCGGAGTCCTGCCCCGTGCCTGACGCGTGCCACAGGAGAGAGGTGGAAAAGGGGGGCCCGAGGACCCCGTCCTAAGGACGCATGTGTTTTGTATAATGGGCGGCCGGGCAGACAGCTCTGTCTTGAATACCCACAATAACAAGCAGCTCACTACTTCCCATCTCACCACATTTCACTCTGTTAGAAAGTTATTTTCATTACAGATGATCTGAAATCTGCTTCCCCATAACTTCCTGACCCTGGGAACATCCCTACTGTCTCTTCCAGGTGCCCACGGGAGACTGGGTGGCCCCGGCCTCCCTCCTGGGCCAAGTCGCTGCAGGGCCCTCAGCTGCTGTGCGTTATTGCACCCAGCACCCATCCTGACTCTCCCCATAGTCTGCCAAGAGCCTTGCAAAACAGCCCAGCAGCCGTGGCCACGGCTGGTCGCTCCTCGGAGGTGAGCCACCGCACAGGCTGCAGCAGGGCAGCCCCGCTCCCCTCCCGCCCCCCACCGTGGCCCCCCTCTGCGCTCAATAGAAAAGAAAGATACCACTGAGGCTGCGCGTGACTTTGGCCTGCTTCTCTCCATCTTCGTCGAGACCCTCGGCCTTCAGCTTCTTCCAGGCGAATTCATCCCTTTCTTGCATCTTCAGATCCGCATGGAGCTCGGACAGTTTCACGGGAGAAAGCTGCAGCTACGGAACGAGAGCAGAGGAGGCTGACAACCAGCCCCAAGATGAACCAAAAGCATCGCCGGGAGACGGCGACCAGGAGATACCACAGGTGGGCAGGGGGACGCAGGGTCCTGGCCAGGCAAAATCCCATACGTGTTCCCGGGCAAGACCCTCAGGGGACTGCCACGCTGCAGGGTTACGGGGAGCCCGCTCTCTAGCCTCACTCTAAGAGGTCCACGGCAGGGCATGATCTAGAAATGCCACGTCCGTGAGGAGCTGCCAGCCAGCAGCGGCCTGAGCACGGGCTGCCAGGTCCTCTCACTGAGGCCACCTATGGCCACAGGGCCGGCTGCTGCACCAAGACGCCCCAGGGACATTCGTGGGGCCCCAGGTATCGGGGTGTGATGACGGAGGGACACGAACGCTGAGCATGGGAGGAATCCATTACCTTTTCCTTGTATCATGTAAGTATGGTAAAAAATAAACCACGATGATTAGAGGATGGCGGACTAAATTATGGCAAACTTCCACGTTAAGAAAAGATCAATCAGTGAACCTGCCTGACAATGCCCTCATGGGCAAGGGACTCGCTAATGACACAATGACTCTAAGTGCGGTGTCTCTGCCCCCTGACCCAGCCCACGATGAGGTGGGGAGGGGCCTCGGCTTCAGGCCAGAATGAGACCTGCACCTGTGTTAGGTGGCCCAAGGCTCTGGGAGCCAGCCCGAGGCCCAGGGAGGCCGAGAGGAGACTGGGCCCCTGCCTTTCCCACTGACTGGTGTCAGCTCAGCCCAGACCAACGGGACAAATATGCTTCAAGCTGGTCCCTTGGACCAGAACATTCCACCAGTCTTCATGTGGCTGTAACTGCCGGGGCTCCCCGGGCACCCAGCAATACTGTGGTGCGCTGCTGAACAAGCTACAAGATTGAGCAGCCCCCTGCCAACCACGCAGGGTGGGGAGACTGCGGCCAATGTGCTTTTTAGGCTAAAAGGGTCATTGTGGTGACCAGCTTCGGCTAGGCCTCTCAGGAGATGCCCAGAAAATCTGGGCCCCATCCTTTACCAGCTTGAAAACTAGTCAGGGAAAGTTCCTCAGGAGTAAAAAGATAGCACCAAATGAGTGGCAGGGCCTAGGGCAGGAAACTGTTTTAATTCTCTAGAAGTTTCTTCGATCCTGCTCCATGGGTTTGCCCCTCCTTTGCTGGCTCTCTGGCTCTCCTGGGGCAGGCATTTGTCTCCACAGTATCCCAGCTCCTACTACCTCTCTCGAGCCCCAAATCCTTCCTTTCAGAGCCTCTTGCATGCCCCCACCCAGACGCCTTAGGCTCCTCAAATGGCACCCAGGCTGACATAGTCCCACCTGCTCTCCTAAGCTCCATTCTAGGCCCCACTGTCACCTGGAGGCCCCCTGTGGGCATTACCAGGCCTCTGGGGAGGCTGGGGCTGCAGCCTCATCTGACCTGTGGACTCCCCAGGGCGGAGGAACTGGACAGTGGTTTGGGGCATGCTGATTTCCCAGGAAGGGCAGACAGGGCACTGGGTGATGAGGAGTTGGGAAGGGCAGACTGGCAGTCCACCCAGGATGCCAAGGACACAACACTTAAGCCTAGGCATCCACAGGGTCTCTCCTTTGTAAGCTTGGGGCCTGTCTGCATCAAGAGCCACAGCCAAGGACAGGGAGGGCCCAGCTCCCAGCTCCGCCCTCTGTGGTTAGTGTGACACTGCATCGGCTCTCGGTTCCCTCTTGGGGACCGCATGGGGGAGAGGACCTAAGTGTTCTCTGACTGCCAGCTAGTTCTACCATCGGGGGACAGATCTGAGGACCTCACAAAGGTCCCCACTCACCTCTTACTTTCCTATCTGTCCACTTCCCCAGGGCCCTGGGGGGAGTCAATGTGCCAGCGTCCAGCCAGGAGCCCATGAGCTGCAGACTCTGGTGCCCAGCTGTCTGTTACCATTGCAGCCCCTGTGAGTCACTGCTTCTCATGTCTGAAGCCCCTGGGGGTCTGAATTACACGCTGCATTGCACAAAAATCAGTCCTTCCTCTGAAATGCAGAGGCTGGTGAGTCCAGCACAGGGGATGCCAGCCACCTGTGGCGGCCGGACACAGCAGTCGTCGTGTGCCATCGAAAAGGAGGCAAAGACACAGCTCCCGGGCAAACACTTGGCACTCCCTCTCTGGATTTCTTCACTCTCTTTAACTTCAAGTTAAACGTTAATGCCTCACACGAAAAGAACTAGTTCGTAGAAATCAAATACAGAACAGAATCTGTTCAGTATTAAACAGTCAGGTAAATCATCAATAATGGACACAAGCAAACACGCAGGAAGAAACCACGTATCAGAAACAAGGGCTATGTTGACAGCACACTGGGTATGGATGGTTTCACAGATGGATGCTTCATTTCAAACTCACCAAGATGAATGTATTAAATATGTACAGTTTTTATATGTCAATCGTGTCTCAGTAAAGTGGTAAAACAGTCCCTGGGAACCAGGGTCCAAAGCCTCTGCCTCCAGCCGCGATTCTGCACTGGGCGGAGTGACTGTGTGCAGAGCACAATTCGGGGAGGCCTGCCCCCATGTGGACACTAGAGAGCCCCTGGGAGACCATGAGGCTGAGCCATCTACGTGGGAGCAGTCTTACTGGCACACGGTGAAGCAGCGCCAAGGACAGAACAGGACAGGGGCCCCGACCTGCCCTTCCTAAGTCCTACCTGGAGCAGAGGAATGCGGTGTTCAGAAAACACAGGAAACACCATCTCCCCTCCTCTTCTGGCCCTCCCACGTCCAAGGACAACACTTCAACACATTCTAATCACAAGATCAGGGTAAGAACTGACAGGAGCTTGGGGCCCACAGAACCGGGTGTGTGAAAGCTTTGCACTGGCGCTGTGAGCCTGCTCAGGATGTGTCCCCCAGCCCCGTCCTGCATCCCCCACCGGAACACCAGAACACAAGGCAACCCTGAGCAGGGCAACACCGGCCAGAGACGATCAGTGCGCACCCACTGAGAAGTCCTGCGACAGCTTCCCTCAATCCCCAAAGCTCTAAGGACAGCCCTTGTGTCCCCTCCGCCCCTCCCCCCGTCCCTGTCCCCTGCTCAGCAGTCTTACGACACTGCAAGATGTCACAAGACCCACAGGACCAGGCAGAAGTAGCCCCGGTTGCCGTGCCCAGCCTACAGCTCTCCTAACCACTTCTATCAAACAGCAACCGGATAATCACACACAAAGTCAAGCCACCAAGTGGCATAAAGCAGCAGCAGCTCCCAGGACCCCGGGTCGGGTCCCTAAGACCGGAACGACCCCCAACCCTAACCGTGGCATCTGCATACCAAGGCAGGAATCACAGCACCAGCCTGGGCTGTGACCCCGAGACAGAAGACCCAGGCCCCATCACCCCGGAGATACAAGACGCGCGGCCCCGCGGCACCTCCCCCCCGGGTCACGGGAGACAAGGGACGCCCCGGGACCCCACGGTCCCCGAGGACACAGAAGACAGAGGACGCCCCGGAGCCCCGCGGCCCCAGGAGACAGGGGATGCCCCACCCCCCCTCGCGGTCACAGGAGATGGGGACGCCCCCGGGGTCACAGGAGGCCCTGGCAGCCGCTCACCCGCTGGGCCTTCTCCCATAGCTGGTTGAGCTTCTCCATGCGGAACTCCCCGCCGGGCTCGCGCTTCGGCGGCAGCTCGGGCTCGTTCTTCTCCCGCGAGTACTTGCCGCCGTGGCCCGCCGCCGGCCAGGGTCCGAGCAGCAGCAGCGGCAGCAGCACCAGGAGCTGCGGCTGCGGGAGCCCGCGCGACCCTGCTCCGAGCCTCGGCGACGCCATCTTCCTCCTCCCACCGCCGAGACCCCGCGCCTCAGGCCGAAGAGGCCCCGCCCCCGGCCCCGCCCCACCGCGCGGCCTGCTGGGGGTTGTGGTCCCTCCCCGAGCGGGCTGCCCAGGCGAGGCCGCCGGCGGACTACGAGGCCCGCCAAGCCCCGAGGAGGCACGTGAGCGTTTCCTAGGCAACCACGCCGCGGCCTCGAGATGCCGGCGCCTCCGGGTGGGCGGAGTGCGCTGGGGCTGCCCTCTTTGGGATTTTGCGAGGTTGAGTGAGGGCCCCCCCGGGACTCCGGACTCCGGATTCCGGATGGCCCGACGTCGCCCTCCCTCTGCCCGGTGGGAAGAGTAAATCGGGAATCGGGAGGGTCCGGCCGAAACCTTGGCCTTTTCCTGTGTCAGCGGCGGTGATAGGGAGCCTTCCTTGTCACTGTGGGTTGCGGGCGGGTGGCCCCTGCTAGGCACTCCGTCCCTTGACAGAGGAGGACAAGCTGAGTCCCGGGCGGTCCCGGGAGTCTGGGCCTTCTCACTGCCGCCCCACGGAAGCTTTCCCCCAGGACTGGGGTGCGGGGTGCGGGGTGCGGGGTGGGTGGGCTGCACCCCCCAGTGTCTTTGAACTGCATCCCCACACTTCCTCTCCATGCGCTGTTTTTGTATTAGAGGTCTTGTGTACTTGCCTCATTCCCACCATCTTAGATTTTAGTAAATCACCAAAATTCAACCTAGGGGGCCCACGTGTTGGGGTTGGGCCATGCCCTGGAGCGAGCTGCTGATGGATCGCCGCCCTCAGGTGGCTTGAGGTAGATGGTCCAGTCGGGGCACCAACTAGGGGTTTGGGGGCAGGGGAAGAGACAGGGTGAACCCACCTGGTAAGAGTGACCTGAAAGGCCTGCCTCCCGGGTGGCGGATTGTGCCTGGAAGAGGGGGCGCTGGGATCGTGGGGCGGGGGGAAGACTGGGACAAAGGGAGGGGGTGAATACCTGGGCCGCTTGGGAGGAAGCAGTACTTACTTTAAAATTGTGCCCTGTGTTGTCCAGAGGATTTAAAGTGCCTGGAATGGAGGAGGGCTTTGTCCTCCTTCCTGCCTGACCCCGGGGTCTTGAGAGCCATTGTTTCATGTGTTTTGTCCGGTTGTTTAGTTGTTTTCAGGCAAAGGTTAACTCAGTCCCAGTACTCCAGTCTGTCTAGAGCACAGGTTCCAGGGGCCCGGCTGTTAGTATTTAAGGAAGTGGGGAACAAAGGCAAAAGAAAAATTCAATTTCCTTACTACCTAAAACCGGCTGACAAGTCCTTGAAACAGGCAGAGTGACATTCCTCTAGGAGCTCAGCTGCCTGGATGTTGATACTTTGCTAGGGCAAAAGGCAATCTTAGGCTGACCCCCAGGATCCTGTGAGTCTACTTTTAACATATAAAAATTCCTTAGGAAACTTTCTTTATCTCTATCTCCTAGATACGTGTTGGGAATCATCCCTCAAGCGTATGACCCACTGATACACATCTGAAGGGTCTCATGACTAAGGTTTTATTTGACGGTGATTAGTGACTTTTTCCCAACAATAGCTAGGCCCCTCAAGGTCCTGGAAACCTTGCTTCCAAAATTCCTTAGAGACTTACACTATCCCTAATCCTCTCCCAACTTAATGGGCCACTCCTCATGACCCCCCCCCGCCCCCCGCAGCCTTTCCTGCCCTCAGGAAAATAATAAATAAATGTAAAATATGTAATATTATAATGTTTTTAATAAATTAATTTAATTTTAATAAAACCACCATTTTGCACCAAAGATGTCTCAAGAATTCTTTCTTGGCCATTGGCTTCGAACCCTAACATCTTTCCTACATCATTTAACACACCTATCCTGTTTATTAGTTACCTAATACATGCATAAAGACCCCAAGAGGATCAATGTTTATTCTTTTCCCTGTTCAAGACTGATCAACAGGCAGTTGTCCTCTGGGTTGTGATACAGGGACCTGGGCTGCCCCGTCTTCAACGCAGGGTTTCTAAGATTGCTTCCCACCCGCACAAGGGGAGAGAGCATGAGGACCTCACAGGGGAGGTGGTTGGAGAGCCGGGCCTATCACTTTTGCTCACGTTCTATTGCCTAGAAGCAACCACATTGATGTGGTTTTGGACTATAGGTGAGGTTTGGTGGGGTGGGGTCTAGAGCCAATGACCAAGAAAGAATTTTTGAGATGTCTTTGGTGCAAAATGGTGGTTTTATTAAAGCATGGGGACAAGACCCCTGGGCAGAAAGAGCAGCTGCCCTGGCCTTGTGAGGGGTAGCTGATTATATACTTGGGAGGTAAGGAAAAGGGAGGTTTTCAAAAGGATTTTCATATGTTAAAGACTCACAGGATACTGGAGGCCTTGCCATTGTCAAGTTAAGGTTGTTTTTTCCCTCTAATAAAGCAATAACATTAAGATAGTTGGGAGCTGGGTGCCTGGGTGGCTCAGTCATTGAGTGTCTGCCTTTGGCTTGTGTTCCCTCCCTCCCTGTGTCTCTCTCTGTCAAATAAATAAATAAAATCTTTAAAAAACAAACAAACAAACAAAGACAGTTGGGAGCTTCCTGGAAGAATATCACACATGTCCCACCCTGGAGTGGGGTGTTGGAGGAGGCTGCAGGGTGTCAGCTTATGCTTTGTCCTCAGCTAGCATTCTGCTCCTTCATCAAACACAGACAGAAAAATCCGTAACAAAATATTAGCAAATAGAATTCCGCAATATATAAATAAGGTTGGCTTCATATTTGGAAATGGATTTATGTAATTCTCTTTATTAATAGAATAAAAGAGAAAGAACAACACATATCATTCACAAATAAGTGTAGTTGAAGCGCTTGACAAATCCAACACCCATTTGTGATAAAAATCATTCAGCCAGCTAGCACTAGAAGGGGACTTTCTCAATTGAATAAAGGGCATCTACACAAAATGTCCAACTTACATTGTACTTAATGGGGAAATGTTGAGCACTTGAAAGAATGCAGGAATGTCCACCATGATCATCAATATTCAGCACATTACCTCATGCCCAATAGAATAGCCAAAATTAATTAGGTTCACAATGTCATATGTTGGGAAAAATATAAAGCCACTAAAACTCTCACACTTTGCTGGTGGGAGTGTAAAATGCTCAACCACTTGGCGAGATCCTTTGTCAGTTTCTTACACAATTCAAGAAACACCCATTCTATGACCCGATCCAATGGGTTCAGTTCTATGAACCTGTAGCCGGGGCGCAGGGGTTCATGAGCATCTGGCTCTGGGGATCCCAAACAGACCAGGTTTGGCCACTCATCGCTGACAAAATCCACAGGCAGAGAGATGAGCGGTGGTGAAACGGGAAAGGGCTTTATTTCAGTGAGGCTGACACCTGGAAGATAGTGGACTAACATCTCAGACTATCTCCAAAGGGTGGAAAATATGTCCAGGTTTATATGAAGAAAACGTGGGACCAAGGCTGGTGGGTCCATGCAGGTGGGCAGTGAAAGTCAGGGTGATCATTGTCTTGGGGTCAAAGGTGGGGGGGTTCTTGCTTGCTCAGGGCAGCTGCTATTGCTTGAAGGCTAGTTTAAATTCCCATCACAGATACTTCCCCCCCTCCCCATCCACTCCCCAGTCTTTTGCCTGAATTAAGAGATGAACTGGAAAGAAGAATGTATCACTTAGAAAGTACGGACTAAGGTCAGAATGGAGGTGGTGGACATCCTCTTTCAAACCCAGCTATTCCACTCCTAGGTTGCCCAAGATAAATTAAAACATGTATCTATAAAAAGACTGAACAAGAATGTTCTGGCAGCTTTATTCATAATAGACACAGATTTTAAACAACTCAAGGGCCCAACAACTGGAAAATGGGTAACAAATTGTGGTATATGTATACAAAGGAATGCTACTCAGCAAAAAGAAAAAAAACCCAACAAAAAATGACCTGCTGCAACACAATGTGGACAAGTCTGATCACTATGAGGAGTTCAGTAAACCAAAACCAAAAGAGAACAGTGTATAGAACTGCATTTTCTGAAGTTCAAGATCAGGCAAAAATAATCTCTGACACTAGGTATCAGAACATTAGTTGCCTATGGCAGGGTGGCCAGGGGAGGGGGGAGGAGTTGGTGATGAACTGGAAGGAAGCATGAGAGAACTTTCTGGAGTGAAGAAAATGTTTGATATTTTGATTGAAATATTGGTTAGAGGGGTGTATATATTTGTGAAAAGTCATTACGTTGTATGTTTAAGATCCATGATTTCATTATGTGTAAAGTTTATCTTAAGACAAAACACACACATGTGCACGCACACACACAGGGGATTGAATCATACTGAACACTAACTGTAGAGAACCCCAGTATTCTTTCTCTGCTCAGCTCTCAGAACACTGAAAGCTGGGTCCTCAGTCTCCAGACAGGAGATTAGAAGAAACATTTCAGTTGAATCAGACCATCTCAGTGGGAAAGAACCATGATGTTGACAGCAGGAGCAACCCAACAAGGACCCACCAAGATCACTCTATGGTGAGGCCCTACATCAACAAACACCATGTGGGTGTGCAGGTCTTAAATCCCCATTCCTTATCATGGACAGTCAGCTAAGGATTTTTAAAAATGTAAGGACAGCTCCTAATGTGGAAGAGAGAGAAAGAGAGACAGAGACAGAGACACACACACAGAGAGAGAGACTAAAACAAATAGGCAATAACAACAAAAAGGCAACTAGGAGAAAACAAAAACCACACAGGGAGAAGAAAAGGGGAAAAATGACTATTATTATCCTCATAGAGATAAGGGAAGGTGTTAGAAGATCCATGGAGCATACACATGCATGCACACACATAAGTATAGAATTACATACAATATATGATATCATAGAAGGAAAATATGTATAATTCAGAGAACAAAAGGAGCTATTGGAAACTGCAAACATGATAGCTGATATGAAAACCCACGTAGAATATAGGAAAATAATATTGAGGAAATCTCTGATAAAGCAGATTGAAGCAATGAAGAGATGACAGGTAGGAAAAGAAT